TATTTTCGAAATAATAACAAAAAAATGTTTATATTTCGAATATATGTGAAGTCCGCCAATCCGCAGTGGGGCCGCGTGGTGGACTATGCCCTGATACCCTCTGTATAGAGGAGGCCTTTGCCCAGCAGTGGGACATGTATAGGCTGTTACTTTACTTACTACTTAATAAGAATTTAGTGATTATGAGCCATAACAAACGGTACATTTCTTTGCGTGAATATCAGATAAATCGCGGGACGTATGTTTTTACAATCGTTTGTGGATTGCAACTAATGTTATAATTTTAAACAGCTTCTTATCTAAAGACATCTTCTTATCTTCAATTATTCGCCTCACAGCATGCATTAGTACACACAGTGTTACAGTTGATATTACAATTTGCACCATCAATTTCCACGCTGTAACATCCTTTGCGGCCTGTGAATTTACGCAGTAATTTTACTGTTTTCCCTAACTGACATTATAAAATCAAAAGGCTAGAAACCACATTAACAGTGAAGCTTAGAAGTCAATTTTTACGTCGTTAACAAATCTGGCATCTGTATCCCCCCCAGAGGTACCCCATGTGCAAACCGAAGCAAACGACACCTTGCTTAGCCCGCGGTTTTGCGCAATTTGATGGACGCGTGGTTGCCCAATGTCTGCGTCTAACCGCGGACCTGTAAGATCCATTCGAACATTACATAACGTGCTACTTACTAGGTTTCCATATATTTCCCTATTATAGGGAGGTAATGGGCTCTCAAGTTAAATGCTATAGCCATTAGCCTGACTATAATCAATAGCTGCATACTTACGTAGACCAGGAAAATATAAATAACGACTAGCGGACCGGGCCGACGTTGTCCAGTACACACGGATATAACTCGTCAACTTAGAAATAAAAAAAAATTGTAGTGGACCGAGTAGTGAATCTAAACCTCATTCGACTCAATTTCTCGAATCGACCGGGAGACACAAAAAATTTCATTAAAATCGTTCCAGCCGTTTAGGAGTTCAGTGACATACACACGTACAGTAGAATTATATATATATATAAAGATTTAGATGACACGCGATAGATTTATTTTCATAAGTAGAATTGGGCAGTGTGACCGTGAGACTATCCCTCCTCACAGAAGCGAAGAATTTTGCGTTTCTGCTGAGTGTAATGACGGGAGAACCATCTTCCTAGTAACCGGTTAGCCACGTGCTTGTAATATCTGTTTTAATATGGATGTTAATGGGCAGAGTAATTGATAATTTACAGAGGCTTTATGTTGAAATTTTACTTCAAACTTTTAGTGCTAGTCTCTGCATGAAAAATATTTTTTAACAAAAAAAACCGACAAACCGGAAACTAAAAAAACATTGTTAATACCTATAACATTTGAGGATTGCCCTCGATTTCTATGGGATGCCATCATCAGATCCGGGTTTCCTTATCATGGCACCACCCTTGGGATATCCCCTTTCCAACAAAAAAGTAGTCATCAAAATCGGTTCATAAACGACGTAGTTTTTTATTATGCGAAAAGTTGTCAAACGATCACACATAAAAAAAAAAATTATATACGGTCGAATTGAGAAACCTCCTTCTTTTTTGAAGTCGGTTAAAGATAAAGTAGATAAGATGTCGAGATTTTCGAACGATGAGCATGTCGACCACTTGGCTCGTTGGCTAGAGCCTAGTTGGCTTAACCCAGGGACGCAGGTTTCGTATCTTGACAGCGGCGAAAAATTTTGAGCCAGTTTAATCTGCACATTTTCAAATCTTTACGTTGAATTCGGAGGTGTCAGATTTAAGTATATGGAAGACGCATACAAAAAACTTTTAAACGATAATTGAGTATTATAATACTTTTCTTTTATCTAGTTACGGTAGATGCGTGATAGACAAGTGCCTAATTTAAGTTATACACTAAATTATACTATTCAAAAGAAATATATATTCTGTTAAGGAGGGTCTATCGCAAATGGCGTATCACTATACAAATCCCCTCTAAACGCGGAGGTTGGATCGGATCGCTAATAATATAATGCAACACGATTATCAATGAAACGCTAACCGCGAATTGTTCCGCTTGAATTGAACGCGTAGATTATTTCTCCTGCGGTCTCACCTGATGTTAGAAGCTCTGTGTGCACGACACGGTCCTCAATGCCACCTTTTCGGATTGTATTATTTTATTTTATTGCTAAGAAAGGTTCTCGTGGCAGCCTCGTATTGGCCATCATAGTGTATACGACTAAATGGAGTGACGACCTGTTCAAGTCTGCGTGAAGTCGATGGACGCAAGTAGCTCAGGATTGTGCTTCATGGCGGTCTGTAAAGATGGCCTATGTTTAACAGTGGACTCAAATAGTCTGAAATTATAATGATGGTTTTATTTTTTATCTGAAGTTGCCAAGCAAGAAGTCGGTTCACCTAACGTAAGTAGTCACCGCTGCCCATAGACATTTGAAACACCTGAAGGGTTCTAGATGCGTTAAGCACGTTTAAAAAAGTGGGCCCGGGTTACCTTAATCACAGAGGCACGGAGGCCATCTATTGAGAAGATTATCCACAAAATTACAACGCTATTTGTATTACAGTCCAAACATATAGAACACCAAGAATATTAATTTGCTATTGCTGCTTCGAACACGAAAACAAGATTTATTAATTTGATCTAATGCCCTTTCAAAGCGATTTTGGCCAGTTTGGCCGCCGACCTGACTGACGTTGGGTCGAGTATTTTCATAATATATTCTGAATAGATTTTACGATCAAAATAATAGTTGTAGAATTAGGTGAACTATCTCGCACGAATGCACTTCTCACTGGAGTTCATTTCGACTAAAATTACAGTATAAACTTTACGTAAATAGTAATTAAATGTTTTATTATATTAATCGTCCTCGTAATAATAATGGCAAATGTTAATTGTGATCTCCCCTGCCTAGGGCTTCCGTTTGGTTGGATCCTAATTATTTTTATGCATTATATACAATATTTATATCTCTGCTATTTTGTTTTATAATCATTATAAATAAAAATAACGGACATGCAAATATAACTTTATATATGCAATATATAAATATGTTTATTTTTATTTATAACCCAACAGACGAGAAAAAAATTAAATATCCCCAAAATGGTAATTTAATTGTATTTCAATATAAAATCCATTAGGTCTATTTTGAAATGTACGAATTATATCTGATTTATTTGGAGGTAACTTCGAGTCGAAAAGTTACAATTTAAAAGATGAAATGTGCAATTCCAAACAGCAAATTATCCAAAGTGCTGCTATTCACAAAGACAACTTGAGCACCGACGTTGTTTAATTCGCGTTGCTTGAGCATGGTTGGTTGTTACGTAAGATGTTTTTAATGAATATTGAAATTGCATTACCTATTACTTAGTGCCTCGCGTTAGAACTAAGACATATCGCGAAATTAATAAAGTAGGTTAATAATTAATAATAACAAAGTGCAATTTATACAGCACAATCAGAACGAAGCAAAGTCAGTAAGTGTGTATCTAATTCGCGCGTCGGTTTCGACACAAGAACGAATATTTATAACGCCGGTCGAGCTGCGTTGTAGAGCATTATTGGGCGAATGAATTTTTTCTTTGGTACTAAATAGTTTGCAGTCTGTGCGTTCATTTGCTTTAGCAGACTTTACGTGCTAGAAATATTTATGTATAAAAATTTAGCTTCCGTATGTTTGTGTCCACATAGATAAAAAACGAACTGATGTATTGACTTCATATTTGTTCTCGTAATTTCTATATAACACGAGAGTGTACATAGATATTTCGAGATTTGTGGAAACTATAAAAGCCACACGGAAGCGTGGTTGGGTTCAGCTCGTAATTTTATAAAAATCAATTTCCTGACTTGCATATATTCTAAAAATATTAGTAAAATATTTTGTGGTATACGATGCTTCCATTAAAAAACACTACATGGTTTTATGGCCGGTTTCAATATTCTATCTACAGATAGATTTTGTTACTGGAGATTTTATCGATTTACTGATGAATTAAAACTTATTGGATATTACGTTTTAAGATTAGTCATAATTATGGAAGGGATATCATGTCTTTTGGCTTTAGTTTTATAGTACATATGTGTTCTCGCTAATGTAACTTAAAAAATAACAATGCTAAATATTCTTCCAAGGCATTTTCCACTTCCTAAATAAGTTGCCTTCTACAATAAATTTCCTTTAACGATTTTCTTGACATTTGGATAGAATTCAAGTTAAAAAAATGTGCGCTCACAATTTGCCCACCTGGGCTGTTAAATGCACCGTTTGTTGGCTGCGTTCCACACGATACGCTTCTTTTTCCCTTTTCATCGATCCCATTTGTTATAAAGTTTGTTTGTTAACAACGTTGTTACGTAACCTTATAAAAGCCGGTAGAAATATCCATTGCCTGAAATCAAATCATATAGTTATTGCATTTAATAAAAATTCAATTCAATTTTGTGAAATACTAACTCTGATAGTATTAATAGTAATAAGTATAACAACAATAATACTTATAACAATGGTACAATCATCATCATCGTACATCATCATATTATTATGATAGAAGGATGATGTTGTCTTTTTTCTTTATATATATTTTTTCTTCATTAATGATTCTTTAACTAATTTTACTAAATGCGACCGACATCTTCTGAGGTAACTCTATATTTTGTCAAATGACAGAGTGATAAAAAGCTAATTCTTGATGTTAAGATTTAAGTCCGCCAATCCGCAGTGGAGCCGCCCGATGGACTCTGCCCCGATACCTTACCTACCTGTATAGAGGAGGCATTTGCCCAGTGGGACATGTATAAGTTGATGTATGTTACTTTACTCTTTTACTGTCTTGATGTTTATGAATAATTAATTCGGGCTGTGAGAGTAATTATTAATTTGAGATAGTTATATATACTACAAACAGAGATAAAACTTCGTAAGGACTTGATAAGAAGACGTATTTGATACAAGCGTTTCAATTCTTCCAAGGTGTTGCAGAGATGCCCTCGCTGTTGGAGGCGCTCGAGCGCAAATATGGCGCGAAGGGCGAAGTGAACCCGTCAATAGACGATATGCCGGTGGCCATCTTTGTGCCGAAGCGTTCCCCAAGGCTCAGCGTGCCCACACTGTTGGTGCTTAACGATTGCGACATCGACTGCGCCGGTGACGCCTGCGCTTTGGCAGACAAATGCGCGGACGTGGTCGAACTGGACCTGGCCAACAATAAGCTCACCGAATGGCAGGAGGTAAGGCGAAGAGTATTCAATAATCTATGTAGTTCATCAAAGAAACATAAAATCATGTATAGACTAACTTACATACAGTCTGACAAACACTTTATCTACGTAAATCAATAAATCGGCTGTATTGAATTTAATTGCTTGCTCCATAGTACACTTACATAAAGTACACTGGCAAAACCGACGGAAGTTTAAGTTTCATCATACTCCTGTGTACTTTTAAAATACTTGTTTGATGACATAGAGCAATGGGTTCTTAGCATTTTTCTCGTGTACTTTGTACATAGATGCATGATATAGATATCCCGTATCGATGAAACATTAGTCGACGTAATAAATAAAAGCTGTGCGCGTGCAAAGTTGATCATTTGATAGTCTCTTAATAATGTTATCGCCGAACTTTCTCATGGTTTGCCCCGCAGTAAACTGAATCCTTGCGATAATAAACATCTGTTCCCAGGCTTCTTACGCCATCGGCTATTGATGTCGAGGCTTCCGCAGAACTGTGCACCATACTCTCAAGTTATTTATAGCCTTTGTTATTCATTAGAACACGATGTTCTGCCGCTAAACTGGTCATATATCTACGTAAGAACGTTTTAAGGTCGAGATGTAAAAATACAGATGATTATAATTATTATTTATAAGTGTCCCAATGATCGGTAGCGCAGCACATGAGCTATTGGCTTCGGCAAGGGTTGACGTTAACAGGCTGTAGATCATATAAGGTGGAATTATGTGCGAAACGGAAGAATAATTGTCCTAAAAGTAATAAGATATTTCTTTATTTTAAGGTCTTTGCAATATTAGAACAGACCCCGCACGTCCGCTTCTTAAACTTGAGCTTCAACCGGCTCACGGCGCAAATCCAGGCGGCCCAAGCGCTCCAGCCCAAGTGGGACAGCCTCAGCCATCTTGTGCTAAACTCCACCTACGTGGGCTGGCCCAGCGTCCTCGGTCTACTGAAGGCTCTGCCGGCTCTCGAGGAGCTGCACTTGAGCCTGAACGAGTACTCGTACGTGGACCTGAGCGGGAAGGAGACCAATGAGAAGGAACGCTGCGAAGCCTGTTCGCGGCTCAACGTCGACACCACCGAGCCGGTGCACGAGCAACTGAAGAAGTTGCACTTCTCCGGGAACCCGGTCAGCAGCTGGCGGGAGATATCGAAACTGGGCTACGCCTTCCCGAACCTGGAGACCCTCTTGGTCAACGAGTGCCCCATAAAGACCCTGGAGCCGGACCCGTGCGAGAAATGCGGCGACAACAACGGCAATAAGAAAAGCCACGATGCCTTCACGTGAGTTGTAATTGAAGTAAATTGTAAGCAATATCTACATGTCTATAGAAAGTATTAGGAGGTGGGCCAGCAAAAAAAACCCCAGTGACGATTGGCAGACTTTTGCTTACAATAAATAGTTACTTTTCAATACGTAACCACTTAAAACGAAAAATCTCGAGATATTTTTATCCCGTGGAATTTTTTTTCTGTATAACCTCTAAATTGGTACCATTTGAACTAATGTATAATGTATATGTGTGTAATTGAAAACATTAAATACCTTTGATAAATGTGATTAAATGATGAATTATACTCATTACAAATGACTAGTGATATATTGGCACGTGCCTGGCAGCGGATGATTGATTATTTGCTTTCCAAACCTAAAATTAACATTCGAATTAAATTTAATGAATACAAATTTAAATATCACTTAAATCCTGTCTTCTTATGACATCTGCAACAAGTTAAACGACAATCATTTATTAACGGCCCTTTCTATCTCTTCTCCTAATGGCTCGTATGTTTATGATTATCGGGGTCAAAACTAGGCTACGACCTCCGTATTTAAGAAATGATTGTTTACAGTCATCTGCGTTTCCTCAACCTCAACAATACCGGGTTGGCAACGTGGGACGAGGTCGATCGGCTGGCATCGTTTCCCGCTCTGAGAAGTTTGAGAGTCCAAGTGAGTAAAGAAATCATATTATTTCCTTACACAGTAGATTTCTACATGTAGTTACCACATGTAGCAACAAATACGAATAATTATTGGTGTAAACATGAAGAAGATTATACCGTAGAAATACTGAATATTATAAAACATTTAAAATTTACTGAACATTATGTTCTAGTAACAGTAATATGACTTCGGAAATCTTAGACTTTGTTCCGTCCTATGTTTGAAGTTACAATCTGATCATGGACGTTTCAAGTCAAGGGTCAGATTGTAACTCATGTATAGAGAATGTTACATCCAGAGTAAAACAACATGATGAAATAACATTTACGGGTGAAAGTAACTTTTATGAAGTGGCTATTAACGGCCAGATTTGCTTGGGTTTGTTAAAAATTACGACATCAAAACTGCGCTTAACGACTGCACGTTAACGACTTGGACGTTTGCGGAAGACGCTCAACCTTGCACCAATTGACTTGCGTACACAATCCCGAAATAGTGCAATGCTAAACACGCTATTAACCGACTTTGAGAGCGTTGCTGAGGCCGAATGGCAACTTGTGTTCTAGTTTAATGATTCATTCATTATAACTTTAATATTGTACGTAATATTTTGGTCGATACTAGTTTTGTTAAATAAATAAAAGTCTTGTACTTTGCGAGTCCTTAGTAGCTTTCCATCAGTCATATACGAAGCTACAATCCTAGGATTTCGGAAATCTTTTAATACTCATCTCTTTATATAACAACATATAACACACTTTATATATTAACATATTAATGCTTACGAGCAAATATCGGATTACGTCTCGGACCTTTTCTTGGGTCGACCAAGTTTAGTTGGTTCATGGATGAATCAAACTATTGAATTTATTATATCATTGTTTACAATGTAAGACATCGGACCATTACAGTATGTCATCATCACTAAGAGTTAGGTCTATAACTTTAAAATGGTTTATATGGAAACGAAGAGTTATATCAATTTGCCCTCAATAACAATTACAATTGACCATCGGTAATCTTTATCGCCTCGGTTGTGTTGCAAATTGTCGGCTTAATTTAAATGCAACATGCCTCTGTCGTTAAGCGGACGACGTAACCTGGGCCAATGTATGTTACATCATTGCCAGGCGGACAATTTAAATGCGTCCCCTGGCGCCCTCACTAATCGCCCCACAACATTATATTCCGCCGGTCCCATTCCATGTTTAGTTTGGCCAAATGAACACTGTTCCATGGACAAAATCACTGAATCAATTAAATGTCATTAATTGAAACACAAGTCAAAGCTACCAAATATAAAAAATACCTAAAATAAAGTGAAATATACCTTCACAAAAACGAATAACAACGTGTGAGAAAGACGGAATGCGATTTAGCCTAGGGTGCGAACGAGACACCAATATAATTTTCTCCCTTCGGCCTACACGTAACCCCTTCACAAAGCGCGCTTTATTTGTACGCCTCCCAACACCTAAATTAACTACTTATTATAAAGTACTCGTAATACAGCTAACACAGAAACCAATGCGATGTAGGTTACACAAAATATTGCCCCATTCCATATAGTACCTGCTTTCAAGTCCGCGTCGGCTATGATTAGAGCCCCTGGCTCCATTTAAAAAAGGTTAAATGAACGTCATCTTGTGAAAGATGATATGCAAAAATACACACCGCTACTATACCTAAAAGGAAAAGATATAAGGTATTTACGTAAAAAAAGGTGCACATTCCTTGATAATGTTTTAACGTTTAAATTTCTTTAACGTTATGACCATTATATTTATTCATTAGCTATGCCCGCGACTACGTCCGCGTGGAATTTATAATAAAAAAAATCCTAGAATAAAAGTAGCCTAAGTTGCTCCTTATTACATCAGCTATCTGCCAGTGCAAGTCCCGTCCAATTCGGTCCAGCCGTTTTAGAAATTAGCCGGAACAAACAGACAGACAGACAGACAAAAATTGTAAAAAGTGTTATTTTGATATATGTACCGTGTATTCATCCATATGCATTTAGTAAAAAGCGATTATTTTAATATTACAGATACTCCAATATTATTAATCTGTATAGATGACGCACAAAATAAGTATTCTTACTTTGCCTTTGAGTACTATTGATCGTGGTTCCTTTTTTAATTCTTCAAACACACATTTAAATTATGTACATTATAATAGCCAATTATTAAAACTTCACTCTTTCTACAATCATATTGAACTTAATTACTGTGTTAGGGACCCATAGCAATGTCTCCTATTGCACGAATGGGCATTGGGCACAGGCTCCTCCTACACTGGAGCCCGCTTTTATAATGATTGACAACGCAACTGCAATCCATGTGTTGTAAATGTTCATGGGCGATGATAATCACTTAACGTCCGCCACCCTAACATCCCTTTTAATGACTTGTAATAATTATGAAGTAATTGTCCATAACGCTCCTCAATAAACTGAAGAAAACAATATATCTGAAATCAGACGAAAAGCAATTAGTCGTATTTATGCGAATACACCTCGTAAAATTAAGATATTAGACGTATTTCTATCAATTTTAATTTTGATGATTTTAATTTACATATTTTATTTAATACACGAAAAAATAGTTGTTAAGTATACAAACCTACCAACTTTTTTTAAAGTTATAACGATAACCATTTTACAGTACGAGTAAAAGACCGAAAACGCTCATACAGAAGCAAATATCGTGACGGTTAAACTTTTACAATAATTTTTAAAAGATATTTGAACGTCTGTAGGACACTCGAGCGGGATGGAAGATATATTTATCACATCATATTGTCGTTAATGCAACCATAGGGCTAAAGAGCCGTATAATCCGTAGCCGTATACATGCAGCTGTATAATAGACATCCGTGAACATAGAAATACTGCTCTCAAAATGCTCGAAGAACAGACGATCAATTTTGCAATAGACGATGTAATTCCGAACGCGGTGAGCTATACACAATTAGTGTTACCAACGCACTAAGCGTTGGTAACCCTAGCCTCGAGAGACCGGGAGCCAGGCGTGATGCGGGTGAAGGTCTGTCAGATTTAGACGGCGACCTACTAAAGCTGACGACGCTTGCGTAACCGTCTGCGAACGGAGTCCCGAATGTGGCGTCACTGCGATGTAATCTATAGGGGACGATTTACGACTGATTACATTAATATCCGTCGATCTATCCTATGATTCTACATATCATATCTAAACATTTAAGACAATTTTAGGTCGAGATTAGATTATACCTACATAAAGTGGTAGGGCGGTGGTAGAGCAACATGCATGCAAGTCTCCGCTGTTGCATGCATGGGCAGGTCCGTCTGGGGTAAGTACCACGACCTCACAGATAACGTTATACTTCGGTGACCCGCCAGCCCGATTGCCTTACCTTCTCACGTAAAAAATAAAAAATTCAACCGCAGTTAGCATCAAAAAAGGGTCGTTTGAATTGCCCTCTATTATTTAGGTTTCAATGTCGTGTTAATTTGTATAAGAGTATTCAATAAATTATCCAACCATAAGCTAAACGCAATGTTTTATCTAGGGATATATTTGTAAAACTATTCGGTTCAGATTCCGAGTGATTTATTTATGACATAAAGTTGTTTGGCCGTCGCACTCCGAATGTGAAAGCGACGTTTGATTTTGACGCAACTGATCTTAAAGGACGCTTTAAAGTTTACGCTTATGTGAGTTCGTGTTACTCCCCCCGATGGACTTGCCTACCACAGTTTGTTAACTGGACAGCAATGGATATACAAATTTAAATTTTCCATCATAAGTGCAGATTAGTCGGTATAAAGATCTAACGAATACAACATTGATGGACATTGCGGATACGTAGGGTTGCAAAATGAGCTACAAACGTTTTTGCGTAGTTTTGATATTTCACCCGAATTTTATCAAAGAACCCCACAAGTTGGCAATTGGCGAAACGCTTACAAATCGGAATTTAGCAAACTCGGCAATTTCACAAAATTACCGATCGCCGTGAAATGATCGGATCTAATTTAGCAGACCAAAGAGCCGCCGCTGCCGAACCGGAGAATAAGCGTTGCACGCAAATGTGGGCAGCTGTTTTGGACGATATGGATAACGTCCAACCATGCATGCACTTTCCGACATATGTTTTGTTTATACGCCACGCTTCACTTGTGTTTTTGGTAATATAGTTCCCGGTACGGATATACCGAACGATGCAACACTTATTGAACAATCGATCATTGAGATATTTTTTCTTCTCCTAATTGAGTGTAAAAATTATTTGGCATTTTGTAAATTGGTTTTCTTTTAATTGTTTATGTTAAGGAATTTGAAAATCGATTTTCAAATATTTTCTTCGGTTCTATATTTACAGCGGTGACTGGCGGGAGGTTTGATAAATGAAGTATAAGGCGATGGATTTGTTATGTAGAATATAAATGTATCCTCCCATGCTTGATTTTGATATTTATTACTTAAAAGTTAAAACCCATAGATGACGAATTATTTTTTACGATTGGCTCTACGTAAGCCCCAAGAAGGATTGAACCTCAGGCAGGCGGGATCGTAAAAAACATATAATACCATTAAAAACTTGATTGATATTTTTCGCCGACCTTAAGGGCAGGAGAGAGAAGGAAGAAGAATTTTCTCAAAGAATATATAGATAGCAAAATAATGTAAAGAATCTGAAAGCAATAAACGACTCTCAAGTAAACAATTTAAGAATTCAATCACGCTCGTCATATTTTTCCCGTGACCAATACCCACGCGCATCGTTTTTGGTCACAATGCACCGATAAAAACTCAATAATGCGGTTCGGGGGCATGTCGCGTTCGCAAAACAACAAGGCCCAGTAAACGTGCTAAGCGAGTGATTCAAATTCGAGTAAAGGTAATGTTGCGTCGGGTTCGTTCACATCCGACACTCTGTTGCAGCCGACGACCTTCTTACCAAGCTGAACGAGGCACGACTGAAAAACGAAAACAACGTCGCCACGCCGAACATCCTGGTCTTGT